CTGTATTGGTCTCATCCCCCTCCATCTTCACATAACTTAGCTTCCCACGCCTTAGCTTCATCGCCACCAAGTCTTGCCTTTTCCCTCCCTCCTTTTCATTAATTAATAAAATGTATCCATCCTTCTTGTAATTTAGTGTGCCCGCTATTCTAGTGTCGCTTCCCGTTTCTGGTTATTCCCTTTTTTCTTTTCTCTAAAAAAAAGATATTAATTTAATTTCACCCTCTACTCCAAGCTGAAGAACCGGTTTACGCATGTAATCCCCGTAGATGCTTTGTTAAGCCTCGTCGATTGAGGATCGACGCCCTGCATGACCTTGACCGTGATATATCAAATGAGAGGCTGTGAAGAACGCCGCGGGAGTCTTTTAAAGTCCCCCTCGTCCCCTCGTCTCTTCAAGCCTGGGTGTTCTGTTTCCTTTTGATCTAATCTGAACTCCTATTACTTACTACCTATCATACCATCTACCACCTTGAATCCTGGGTTCCCGTCGACAGAAGCTGGGACTTCTTCATCTGACCATTGTTGCGTCGCCCGGCTGCGCCGCATTGACTTTCCCGCGAATTGCCTGTTTACGGTCACCGTCGCTCAAGGGTGGTTCCCAGTAATTAGACAGTACAGTCTCTCTGAGTCGCTGAGCACGAACCCCTCACTGTTGCGACATCTCACACCCAACAGGGCGCAAGTAAGTAATCACAGCTAAATACCTTGTCGTTTCCTTTGCCCCGGTCCCTTTCCATACTTTTTTGGCATATAAGCCCCTCCTGCCGCTGAGATAAGGCGGGCTGGCTTCATAAGCGCTTTCATTGTTACTCCCTTCTCTTGTTTGCTTTTTCACTTCTGCCTGGTCTCTGGACACTTTGAGCCTCACGTCTCTCTGTCTCTGCTACTCTTCCTTTTTCTTTCCTTCACTTACCTCCGTGGGGATATTCCTGCCACTGGTACACTGTGCGTATATGACTGTTGCACTATCAACTGCACTAATTTTGTCACCGCAACCTCAAGGATATGACTAATACTTATACCTCTTGTGCAGGTCTGGGAAGAATCATCGCTCATACCTGACCTTGAATACATCTACACCTAGTAAGTGAGCTTATCTACGGTTTTGCATATTCTCCTTGATTGCTCGATTGTTTTTTGCCCTGCATCATGTCCCATTCAAAGCCTGGTCGCACTGGGGATTGAGGATCCTACTTGGGGAAGAAAGATGCAAGCCAGCCTAAACACACTCAACGTCCGATGACGGAGGAAGCAAAGCAAAAAGAAGGAGGGGCACGGGTTACTCCTCATTCCTCCAGGATGAGATATCCGGCAGAGATATTACCGGGGTTGTCATGCCGTCAACCGAGTTGTTGTCTGGAAAGAGCAACAACCGATGGTTGCAGCACAGCGCCGTTGGGCTCCAACCCCTGCATGCTTTCTCGGCGGGGGGAGGGTAATACCCACTGATCGCGGGTTGAAGGTCGAACAGTTCGCGGGAAGTCAGTGAGCAGGCGCCTATGAGATGCTCCAATTTGCTCCGACATCCCCAAGGGGTTGAGTTACCGCGGGGCAACCTTGGAGGGCTCATTCTTGTCTCACGGACCCCGACTCGGAGAGCGCTTCCCGGTTGGACTAAAGCGGGGAGGCGGTAATCGGCGAGGAAGAAAAGAGGGGAGAGGAAGGAACCTAAGAGGGAGGAGGGGGGGAAAAGAGGAGAGACATTTTCCATCAGTGCCATGATTATCGTCACACACAGTCACATACGCCATGTTGATGTCTCGAGCGACGACAACCCCAGGGCACGCCGAGAGACAAGGGGAAACCACGGGGAGGCCGACGGGGGGAGGGGGGAATGGATCGCAGCGGGTGGCAGATTTCCGGGGCAAATCAATGGCATCTCCACACTTTCCACTGCCACGCCCGCATACTGCCACTAGTGACCGCCTACCCGACAGTCTTACCGCCCGGGGAATCCTCAGCGATCGGTTTTGCCTCTTCTTTCTCCTTCCTCTTTTGCCGCCCCCCACGGTGCCTGTTTCACTTTCAGCCCATCAAGAGCATCCATCCACTTCCATCTCTCGCCTCCTCCACTCCGTTCCCCTCCCACATCCCATCTT